ATTTTTAAAACTGTTGAAAAATTTTTAAAATTATACAGCAGAGAACTTGTATATTAAGGGGTTTTGCAGCTGATTTTTTTTGTAAATGTTTACTTGCAAATTTGAAATGCCAGTACCATCTCTAATAATAGTTGAAAGGGATGTTTAAAGAAAGACTCCTAAGCATTTAAGTCCAATTCATCATGCCTTTAAAACAAAACCTCCCAAATAGCTTAGTTATGGAAGTTTCCTGTTTGAATTCTCTCAGTTCCAGGTTTGTTTTAAATCCTAGTAGAGACCTTTGGAAAATTAAACCTACTCTTTCAATCTCTGGAAAAAATACTTTCATTGATCCAATTTCCTGCATCTTTCCCATTCATCTGCCCACTGGGAAACTCTCAGATGCCAACAGCTCTGGAAAAGGGTGTGAAGAGACATGATGGAGTTATGGTGTCACCTTTATCTGCCTGCTGTGTGCAATTGAACATCTGTGTGTGAGGGACCAGGTGAAGGTGTCTTCTCCCATAATACCTAGTAAAAATGTTATATCCAACCTCAGAAACACTGAGAAGAAAAATTATCAGTTGGTGAGATGAGAGGAACAGCTGGTGTGGGCTACTGTTGGTCATTTTGTCATATAGTTCTAGAAATGCTATTCTGTGACTAAAGGTCTTCTGGCTAGAAATAGCACTCAAAGGAGCAATAAACAGCTGGAGAAGGCAAGGGGCTTGAAACTCAGGTCAAATGGACAGTGAAAGTAAGGAATGGACACAAGTTAGGAGAAAAATGTAGATGTTTGGTAAAGAATACAAGGATACTAGGCAAAGATATATATTGACCAGGAAGAAATTTATGAGAAAATCAGGAAAATTATGATTTTAAAAGCTTTATAGAACAGTCTGTAATGTTGATACATTGATAGCAAGCAAGTGAAGCTGGGCCAATACTGAGTACCCAGCACCTCCCTGTCTCTGCAGCTTACAGGTCTTTTCTGTCCTAAGAGTATTTGAATTCTTGACAACTGTTAGTATTGGCTGAATAATTGCAAATATGAGCTACGTTAATATTTTTAAGAGTACCATTTTCACAGGATGCTGTTCAATTTACTTTTGATGAATAAGACAAACTAATGTTTCACTTTTAGCATGTAAGATATACATTTTTTGTCTATGTTAGATACTACAATTTTGCTCTCTTTGTTGCCAGTAAAGCCTGTTTGTCCAGATCCAGGGCATTTTTTTAACTGCCCTGAGTTGTTTCTAGTGTGGGGGCTGTAGAGCCAGGCTCAACTCTACCTCTTGTCATCCCATGCCTGTACTCCTTTCTGCTCCATCCTGTGCTTTCACAACTTGAGGCCTTTTGTATTTTGCGAGGTCTGTATTTCTGTATCCTACATCACTGTGTTAGTCAGAAATATCTCATTCCACACAGAATGACTGTTTTCTACTTCTATCTATATAAAACTGCAATTGTACTGCATGAAGATAACAAAAGCAAAACGAAATTAGCCACAGAGACCTAATCAATTAGAGAAATTGCTGTTACAGCTAAATCAAGTCATACAAGCCATAGACAGGTCAAGAAAAGTTTGGACAAAGCAAGCCTGGGAGTCCTTAGTCCTGAGGTTCTGTGGACCCAGTATATCTGGGTTTCAGATTTTCAGCAAAACAGGGCTACACAATCACATGATATTCCAAGTGGATATTATATAAAAATATAACTAAGCAATCTAATTTCAGAGGAAAGTATTATTTCAATTTCCTTTGGCAAAATTCAAGTTGCTGATAGATGGATGCCCAGCCTGTATAAAATAGGTGAAAATACCAACCAATCTTTTAACAGGAATATGTTTTTGGATGCAAACCTCCTCATAGGACAAATAATTTCAGATAGTCCACTATTTCTTTACTGGAAAAGTAGAAAACTCTCCAAAGCTGAACTCTTTGCCAGAATGATGCCAGAGTCGTGACTTAATCACAAAAATGTGTCTGTTCTTTAAAAGAAAGGTGGCAGATGTTTGTACTGAAGAGTTGGTCAGCTATGAAATAGACTAACTTAGTCATAATGCTCCTCATACTGCTGAGATGTGGAGGCTTTTGTGAACTCTATCAAGTCACAAGGATAATTCTTGTGATGGAGGTACCTAGATGCAACTTTGTGTTAGAAGTATGGTAACTGCAGAGGGAGATTTTGTGGTATTCTGCCATACATCTCCTATTTGGGGCACAGAAAGAGCAACATCCCTGTGGTCTGTGAGGAACAGGAGAGTTCTGATTATTTTAGTTTGCTGTATTTAGCTGTATACACTTCCAGTCCCTCTCACTTCTAGTTGGTGGGGAACACTACCGGTCTTGCCCAATACTTGGTTTTGAAAAGAACAGAGCTCTTTGAAGACAGGTATTCATTTAATAAAGAATTGCTAACTCCCCCTTCTTTTTTTTTCTTTTCAGTCTCATTCTATCCAGCTTTCAAATTTTTGTTTTGTGAACACCTTCATTTGAGTGGATCTCTTTATTGCTCAGTAATGCATTGGGAGATTTGGAGGCAAATGAAAGGCATAGGAATTAGGCATTATTATCTTTATGTATATCATATTAAATGTGCATAACTGGACTTTGGCAAAGTACCATTTACTTTTTCCTTACTTCCTGAACTTCATTTATGTTACTTCATTGTATTCATTTTATACTGAGAGTGAGATTCTTCCTTCACAAAGCTGCTTATATTTCCAGGTAGAGTTTTTGTTAATGACTTATTCCATTGACGCAGGCAGGCAGGGTGTGAAATACTTCATTTGTAAATTAATAGATGCTTTTTCTGTCAAATATTCAAGAATAATACATACACGAAGCAAAGAAAATGTCATAGATTTTATACTGTTTTTCTAATGGCCTACATTTGCAGTAACCAGCTAACTGTCAGAAAAATGGGAAAAATATTCTGTGACATTTTTGCTTTTAAAAGTATTAGTCAATTATAAAGGGTGGCTAATTTCCTGACTTAAGATAGCCACAAGGGCTAAGTAAAGACTGGGATAATTTTGCTGGAATAAGGAATTTGTCCAAGTTAATATTTTGGGAGCAAATAGTTGAAACTTCAGAGGCAGGGAGGATGTTCAGACTTCAGCATGGCCATTTGTGTGATTAGCTTCCTATGAAGGATGGAAGGGCTGGTGGATGGATGGATGGATGGATGGATGGATGGATGGATGGATGGATGGATGGATGGATGGATGGATAGCTGATGTTCACTCACTGAAGGAAGCTGAATATCATTTTCTATACAGTTTGCAATAGTCTTGATAACCAGGGAAGGCAGGTCACTGCTTTTGAATTATGGACTCTGCCCCTGTATCTGAGCAACAACACAAAGAGAATTTTTTACTATAAGGGATCTACTTATTCATGTCATCAAAAAAAGATCTGATGTGGCAAGGTGGTAAGGTGCTCAACACTTACATCTTCTGACCTGTTTCAACATCTTGTCCCAGAATATTTTCAGTACCTTGAAGAAATCCATCCATTGGCTCTTTGACTATTTTGTGTCTACAGCCTACCATTACAACAAATCACCCAAGATTTGTTGTAATGGTAGTTTTGTTAGGTAGAAGCTGGGGATCTTAGTGCTATTGTGCTCTCCTCCCAAAGTTAATCAGTTTTCACTTCTAGAATTCTTAACACAGATCCATTCCTGCTGACCAAAGCATGTTGCTTGCTCTGCTGAGAATCTAGGACAGATTGTGTAATGGCCTTGTCTCAGGGAGGCAGCATGGGTGTCATACAGGTGCAATTGCATTCTATCTGGCTTTGAGATATCCATAAAAATTTCTTAGCATATTTGCATTGTTAATCTGTAAACTATAAATTTTAATGGAGTAGAACATGACTGTATCCCTCTGGTGCAAACACTTAGAAAAATACTATACCACTAAAAAGTTAATGAAAATGTTTACTTGAGGGCATTTTTATTCTTTTTCTATCAAAACCAGACAAATTTCAGTCTATTTCCCTTCTCTTCCTGCTGTCTAGTACACCAACAATGTGTTCAAAAGTTGTGCAATAAGTAAGAAAACATTTTTCTCCTGCATATTATTGTGATGACATTGGAATCATCCACCAGTGCAGAAATGGTTAAAGAAAGATGCCTAAAGCTGTAAATCTCAAGTTTCCTGCTTTTGTTTTTGCTGATGCCACTGCTTTACCAGTCCCAGATTTGCAGTCAGAAAAAGTGATTTTCAAATCAAAAAGAAAAAACAGCATGTCTGCTCTCAGCTGCATCTATTCATTCATATCACTCAAAGCACATTAGGTATGCCTTTGAGCTCTAGGAATTTGGGGAATAAATGCTGTGTTGTCTCACGGGTTCACTTTGGTCTTTTTCTGCACCATCTCCCTGGTGCAGATTCCCATGAGCTTTTATTAGAAATTCCTAGAAGTCAGCCAAACCAGTCTGTCACACTCAATAACAGCCATCATATCCCATGAGTCTCCACCGTGTCTATTTTCTTCATTCTGATACTTAATGTAATAGAAAATAACAGATACTCTTCACTGTAATGAGAAATCTAATGGCATTTGTACAAAAGGAGAATGTTCATAAAACTATATATTTTCACATGAAATAAGGAAAGAAGACAGGGAAAAGATAATCAGTTAAAATTTTGAAGGTAAATGAAGATTTATTCTGTTCTTTTAAAATGGGAAAAAGGTATTTGCCAATGCTTAGTAAATATGTATAAATAAGTGGAAAAAGAATAATTTAAAAAAAAAACAAACAAGGCTCTTAGAAAGAACACCAGCTTTTCTGTTCTCCATTGGCTGCTCTAAGTCCACTTTCTAGACACTCAGCATTTATAGATCAAGGATTTTTTAGCTTTTATGATCCCTCAGAACTTCACTGGGAATTTTTTGCTCTCTGTTTTTTCTTGAAATAGTAGGACTGAAAGAGTTTTCTGAAAATCTGATATTGCAAGAAATGCCATATATCAGAAATCTGACATTCTATCTTTATTTTATTTACAGATTGATCCACTGAATAGATCAAACTTCTGGATCACTAATGGATTTACCTTCCAAATATTCTTGAAGGTTAGGTAAATACTAAATATCTTCAGTTCAGAAGGGAAAGAAGAATGAGGAAAGATTAGTAGTTTACTTTTCCATGGCATTAAGCACCCACTTTTAAAGACACAGTCAATAGAAACAACACCTCTCAGCACTTCTGAAAATTGAATGATAATGGTCTTAATTAAGTCACCCAGTAAGTCAGTATCAGCGCTAAGAATACAGCTGAGGTTCTGTGACTGTTTGATTGCAAACATAAAACTTTCTTTTTTTAGTCAGCCATCAGAAATGAGCATCGCTTCCAACAATTTTAATGCTTATGACTATCAGATTAAGTATAAGTATGCAGTGTAAGACTGTCTGCAGGATTTTTTTGTAGGACAACCTGTGATTTAAGTCAATTGGCTGGTTTATGGAGTACTAAATGTCAGAGAGCAGTCATCTTGTCCTACCCTAGGGAGCTAAGAGATCTTGGAAAAGTCCAGGGAAATCAGATGAAGGCACACATCCCAGATGTAGGTAGTCAGTACTTTATCTTCCAGTAAGCATTCATGTTTCAACCCCTTAGTGTTATACTGAATGGCAGGATCATCCATTTCTTGATGTTACAGCAAATTACATTTTTTTCCCCATTGTCCTGTAAATCAGAACATCCATTTCCATACTTTAGGTATTTTTAATGCCGGGCCAAGTCAATAGTCAGAATTAATTGGCTCTCTCAGACCCAAAACCAAGCTCCTAGTTAATTTTAATGGGAGCTTTTTCTGCGTCAGAATTGCCACTTTATTATTCTTCATTATTTTACTGCAGTGATGCTGAGCAACCACAGCTGTGTTCCCTTAACCCTGCACCTCTAGAAAGTCCAAAAATAAATATTAGCTGCAGAGTATCCCTAGTTTTAAGGTAAGACGCAGCTCATCTATGCTGAGCAACTATACACACAGTAACTGAACAGCAGTACAAAATGTCCCATAGTCAATGGACAGAAAAACACAGTCCCTGGGTGTAACTACAGTCTGAAGAAGCTTGCTGAGCTCCTTGCTTATGCTTCCCAGTTGTGAAAATAAAGTAAGGACAGATGAATTTGGGACTAAGTCCTCAATGACTTGCAAGCTCGGTGTTGGAGTTGAAAATGTGCTCAATAACCCTAAAGTCATTATCATCCCAGGGAAGTTGATTGTCATTGTCTTAAATTGCAACCAAGAGCCAGTACTAAGCATTGTGCATTATCCCCTGTGCACTGTACATGATTATATAAATTTGTATGTGTAATGATGCATTTTTATGACATATATATATTTCTGAATGTGACAAAGTGCTTCGTGCTGAGATCTGAGTGCTGGTGTGCCAAATGAAAAAGCACTTAATGGCCTGATTACAATATAGTTAAGAACTGGTACAATTCTTCACAGAATCTATTCATCATCAGGATGGGAGGGAGGCAGGGTGGGTTTAGCCCTTCCTAATTTCTGTCAGTAGGAATGGGGTTGGTTTCCACATTAGGGAACCTAAATGTAGGTATCTGTATGCATGCTTTGTGCTTAGGATTCCCTTAGAGTCAAAGAAGAAAGCTAATTCAGAGGTGAATTCAGTTGTCTAAATGCTAAGAACTACTATTATTTGTGATAAAGTATGTGAGGTGATGGCCCACATAAGAAGACATAGGAATTACTGCACACCCATGCCCTTCAGAAGCAGGAGATGCCAGATAGGTTGCAGTATCCTGACCAGCAATTTTTGTGAGTGTTAGATGTTCAGTTCCTGTAGTGGGAGCCTAGACACCCATCTCAAAACATGGACTTCTACATAGGTGTCTCTAAATATGTATTTTCAACAGAATCTTAGGCTAGGGCCTTAATCTTCTAAATTTCTACATCTGGGCTAGATATCTACACTTGCCCTTGCAAACATAAGTTAATACACAGTCAAAGGAAATAAAGGCACTTTTGGGTGTTGTTTGTCTAGAATTTTTTTTCCACATAAGATTTTGAGAAAGGACTGTACTCTGAAATACCAATTTCTCACCATTCTCTCTAAAGGGGATCTAATTTGACCACAAACAAAGACACCTCCATTTATAAGTTGCTACATTTGATCAAAACAACAGCACAGATAGCAAAAAATATATTGAAATGGAAATGCATTTTCAAAACATGAACAGCAATTAACTTGGTGGCAGAAGGATTAGAACAATTTGTGAAGAAATTCTTTCTGAGCCGGCGGACCTGAAGGCTGTAAATCTGAATGGAACTGTGAGACCTGCTAGAAGACACAAAGTTGTATGAGTTCTCTAATCACATCATCATCTCAGAAGACAAAGACAAGGACAAAGGTCATGCCCACTTATCTGATCACCAGCTATGCAGTTTTGTTAAGAACACACTGAAAGTGGGAAGCACACAAATCTAAGCTTATGTGCTGATGTAAATAAGATGCAGCTGTGAGCTGGATTTTATTTCCTTGTATCTCTTTCTAAAAGATTACATGTATTTTATCACTGCAGTACAGAAGTTATTCCTACTAGTCCCAGAGAGTAGAAATTTTTTACTGTGTTCCCTATTGAAAGTCAGGCTTAAGATAGAGCTTTAAACATGAAACAGCTTTATGATAGGCAGAATCATGCTAAGATACTCAGAGAATGCACCATGGATGTATATTTGTTTAGACTTTTGTTTTGGAGTTCTTTCTTTGTATTCCCTTCTACAAGTTTTCTGTCATCAGTGGACCAAAGCAAGCACCTAATTATTACACTGATTTGATTTTGTTCCTCAGAACAACTTCAGTTTTATTAGATGCTTTAAAAAGGGTAACAGTAATAAATACCCTATATGTTTTTTTTCTGTAAATAAGTAAACCGATATGCTTTCAAAAATATTTTAATGAAAACAGCAAACTCTACCCAGATTAATAATGTGAAATAGAACAAAATAGAAAAATAGAATTGAAAGACATTACTATCTGAGTATTTTTCTCACAGGACAGGACATAGTTTCTGGAAATTCCAGACTCCTGGTTTGGATGTGCAAACTGGAAGGCACAAGCAGAGGGAGTTGCCCCCAGACATTTTTTCATGGTCAATAACTGTGTGGCTCCATCTTGCTTTTATGAGTGTATGAATGTATCATCTGTCCAGTGAAAATTCAGATGATCCTTAGTTTGTGAAAGAGGGGTAAGAATTGTGCTGACATCCCTTAATATTCTCCTTTGTTTTTTACTACCAAAACATACACTAAAAAACCCCAAACAAATACACACAACCCCCCACACCCCAAACAAGCAAGCAAACAAAACCAAACAAAACCCCTGTAGTCTGCTTTAAAAGATTCAGACATTTTTCATCCTAGCACCAACTTTCATGCAATATTCCAATCTGCCAGGCTCACGAGCAGCAGCAGCCCTGCTGTAGCACAGCACATACCAAAACAAATGTAGAGATCAAGGCATCTTCACAGCCATGACAATTAGCACTCTTGCAACACAACCAGCAAAACACATAGTTCATACACTTTTACTCTAGAACTTGCTAAATGTCATGCAGTGCACAAAATGTCCTCCTGAAAATGGGAGGGTGACACTAACAACCACTGTACATCAGAAAGAACACACACTGGGAACTGGTGAAGGAGAGAAACCTGCAGTGGAAAAGCATTGCACTTCCTAATGCATCAGAATTCTAAAGAATGACTTCTTAAAGAAAGACTAGAAAAGGAATTAATAACAACAGGATTATTAGAATTATGGTTTCAGCAGCAACACCAGTTCTGGAGTTCATTGAGGTCTTTTTTTTCCTGCCCACATTCTATTGCACAATCACTAATCATGTTTTCTTCTTGCTGTCGCTGTTCTCTCTTCCCTTGCCAATCCCCCAAAGCTACTAAGCATCCTTCTTTGTGTAACTGATTAACTTAATGAGGCTGGACTAACAGCACTTATATGCTGTCTGTCTTGGATTTTATTCCTTTTTATCATATTGGATGAAGGCCATCCACTTTCCCAGCTAACTCACCTGGGGCTGAAAAAAGATGAAGCTTCTCCTAAAAAACTTGTTTCTACGAAATAATTTTTCATCTCATGACAATGCACTCTACTTGCTGTTTAAATAGAGTTACTTTCTCTTAAACCAGTATTCAGTGTAGTCAGTGCTGAAGGCAGAAATCTCACTGTAGTTCCAGCTGTGTCTGCAAAGTGACTTCAGGGAATATGACCTTCAGGAGACAGCTTGTTTCCTGAGAATTAATGAAATTTTTCTATAGCTGCAGAATTGAAATCATGTCCTGCAAGAGCTGATTGTCCCTGCAGAGTGAAATGCAACTGGGTTATTCTGAAGGCAATATCTGGATGTTTCCTGTGCTGAACTGTGCAGAGGAGTGTTAGAATCATGGTTAGAGTTTTAATGGGATTAGAAAGGAGCAGTGTCTGCAAAATTCCCTGACCACCCAGCCAGCACGGGTAGCTGAGGCTAGCAAGGGATGTCAAGAATTTGCTATTTAATTTCACTGGGGCTCTGTGCACCTGAATTCAAGTCACTATTCTGCCATGCCTGTGAGAAGTTTAAGGTGATATTCAACAAATCATTTAGCACTGAGGATCCCAAGTATAAAAACTGATTTTTTGACTTTCACTGACATTCTGGTAATCTAATGAGGCAGTCTGTCAAAAGCAAGCAATCCCTGGCCACAGTGTGATGGCACTGAGTGGCTTATGTCTACCTTTTTCAAGATTTTGGCCTGTAGACAGATTTGCCATGGCTGGACTATTTAGGGACGGTTTGACATCTCTTTAGAGCCTTTAAGTCTTAGAAGTTTTCTATTTGCTTGTTTGCTTGAATTGCAAGTGCCTAATTTGCTGCAGTAAAGTGTTTCCATAACCCTACAGGCACAAGTATTGCTTCAGCTGAGATTGGAGAATGTAGAGATTTTGAAGGAAACAAAGCCTGCTGGCTCCCTTGGGAGAGAAGGCTGCATGGGAATTTAGGAGTCAAACAAAGGCCCCAAAGTACAGGAATACTTGAACAGATATCTTGAAAAAATTAGGAACAATGAAAATGACAGAGTTCAAACATGTAATTGTTTAATCGTCCATCTGTGGAATGGCATAACTGCACTTTTGGATCTTTAGGTATACATAAGAGTCCTGTAGTGATACCACTACTTAAGCACTATGGCTTCTTTATAGGAATAAAAAAAAAGTCAGGATAATCAAAATTCAGTATTGAGTAGTACCTGTAAGGTCTCAAGAATTGAGTCATATTTTCTCGCTAATGTTGAGATAGGTAAAACAGCATTAAAAATTCAGAGTATTCTCACTGCCACCAAGCCAAATGTGACTGCATTAAATTTCAGATGTTTCTGAACTCTCTAGTGATGCAGTCTTAGGTCTTTGATCATTGCTTTGATTCAAAGGACATTAGGTGCTGCTTTTCCACGCAAATCCTCTGTATCTATAAGCTTCCAAAATGGGAAAAATCTGAGTAGGAGGAAGAAATTTTCAGGAAAAAAAAATTCCTATGGCTCTTGTTGCTTGGCAACCACTGCTTTGCCTCTGTGTTAAGAAAAATAGCTTCCTTTGGAGTTCAAGTCTCAAGCCTGGCTTGAACTAGAAACAAGAGGAAAATAAGAGAAAAGCATGCTGTAGGCTAGGTTTTTCAGTAATTACACTGTTTGCCCATGCCATTCAGCCAAAGGAAGCAGGGAAAGAAGTTAACAAGGAGTAAGGAAACATGACCCTTCCTGTTGGTCATAGGAACTATTATTTACTGAGTCCTTAAAATGATGCAAAAACATAGGAGATACCTTGTGGTGAGAGACTAAAAGATCTCAGCCTATTTCATACATCAGAAAGAAGATGGTAGAGTCACTTCACTGTATAAGTAAATTAATGGAGGAAATGTCTTGTATAAAATTGCTTTTTTGTCTAGGACACAAAGTTAAATGAAAACCAGTTCTATGCCAGAAGAAAGGAGGCATATTTATGTTCAAATGAAGTCTCACATTTTTAACAATGACAGCAATTAAGCACAAAAACAAACTGTCTGGGGAATCTTGTATTTATCACTTGAAGTCTTCAGGTTGAGATGGATGCTGTTTGGAAAACACACCTTAGCCAAATAGATTAAATACAAGGGAAACAAGCTGTAAGGAAATGTTATGTGATACACAGCATATCAATTATAATACATTTATCTTGAGACTAAAAGAGATGATCAGAAATTTTTCCTCAGTTATGGTGTGAAGGAAGTGATTTTCCTCTCTAGCACCTGGGGCAGCCTGACACGATGGCTTCACCTCTGAAAAATGAGGAGTGACACACTGAGAGCTTAGGGGCTAATGTCATACAGGAGAATATTACACTTAGGCAGGTAATGAAGTGACTGTTGGTACCGCTCCAAGTTCCTAGGATGATTTAAATTCCATTAGAAAATGAGATATAGATCTGTAAATTTTATCCCCTTTCTGTTTTACTCCTACAAACACATAGTTTTATGTGGGAGCTACTTTAATTTTCATCCCTATGAAGACAGCTGGATGTCCAAAAATATGAGGTACAGACAGAAGAGAAAGAAACTTAGATTAAGTTTTCTTCCTCAGATTCCCCCAGCAAATAGTGTCTCCTTGTTTAAGAGTGGAATTGTCCTCAATTTTCATAGCTGGTGAGGGACAGAAATTGTGCTATTAATTTGACAGCCCAAGCTGTTCTGCAAGAGCACCTAGAAGCATGGAATACAAATACAAGATGTGTCACTGTTGCATACAGGTATGGATATTATAAAAGAAAGGCCTTATAAAATCAGGCCTTGCTCTGCTAAATTACCAGCTGGCCTGTTACATCTACTAACTTCCCATATGAAAAAATATAACAATGAAAGGAGTTAGCACAGCAAGCTATTCTGCTAAGGAAACCATTTGCATGTAATAAACAAGAAATCTGTCCCATGAGAATGCACAAAGGAAAAATGTAAACACTTAAGTAAAAGAGAGAGTCTTAGCATGTACATACAAAACCACCTTGAATTGAACACTTTGATTCTAACCAATGAATTTTGCGGCAAGAAAGCTACCAGCCAATTGGAGTTGAACATGGTCTGTGAAAAGTGTATATAAATGAGTTATCTGAATTAAAAATTGGCTTTTCCTGCATGAAGAAATTGAGTCCTGGCTGCTTTATTGTAACACGTCACTACACTATCTATGAAGAGAATTAACTCCAGCTCAGCCAAAACCAGCGAACATACATAGGCTTCTCTTGCGAAGAGACAACATGTAGCTTTAATTTTGAGAGTGTCACATGAGACTACTAACTCATATGATGAGGTATGCTTAATGAAGTTAGATGAAGAGTTCATTTAATAAAGTTCTAGCAAAAAAGAGGAAGAATAAAGTTGATTCCACTGATGCATGATGACCTGGGAGCAGCAGTTTTGATAGATGAGTAAAGGATTTTAAATGGGCAGTCTGCCTAATACCCACATTGCAATCATATTCATCCATTCCCTCATTAGGACTGAGGGTCAGTCAGTCTGGAAACTAGTTCTAAGTAATGAATAATCCTCCTGAACAAAATATGAAAAATTGCTGTTAACTTAGACACCTAAATAAGGTAGTACAAGTTAGTGTTATGTCTGGCTTAGAGAAAATGCATTTGAAAAATATGCCAATTATACACTTACACAAATTTAGCATAAAAAACAATCTGTCTGTAACAGATTGTTTCTTAGTTCCAAGGTTATTGCTCAAGCAGGTTTTCATTGTTTTAGCTATATCATGTATATTTCATTTAACTCCTTTCAAATCTGAAATGAGCAGATTATATTTAGCAGGAATTGCAGCTGAAGTTCACAACAAAGCACCAAAATAGTTGGCACCTGATGCATATTTAAAATGCCTAGTAAATTTGTTTTTATCAATAAAGTGCCAGGCCTTGGGAGCTTGCTTTACATCATGAATGTGTGCTTGCTGGTTTCATGCAGTCAGGGAATCTGGTCAAAGTCAATGATGTGAAGATAGGAAGGCAATAGAAGAAACTGATGGAAATTATGGCAGTCCATGTGAAGGAGCACTTTGCATCTTCAGGTATGACCAAAACAATGCATTAGTCCTTCCACAACCGGGATGAGTCAAGGTAGGAACTGGAATCATTATGGGAGAACAACCTAAAATGGCATGCAACCCAAACATGCTCCCAATCAATAAAAAGGGAGAAGTAGGGTTTATGTTTTAGGTGAGGAGGGAATAGAGTTTTTGTATTGCCTTGGTCAAAGAATCACTCTAAACATTTTATTATAGAGATGTGCTTACTTTCATACTTGTCTTGTGTCTCAGTAATACTTAATTACATCATAAAAGCCGAACAGTGTTTATATGATAGCAAAAGAGGTTTCCTCTACTTTTACACTGAACTGGGTGATTAGACCAATTGCCTCAAGGGAGAAAAGAGACAGACCTTTAGCTTTTGAGGAGAACGTCTTCACCATAGCTTGTTTTGGAAAAGGCAAACACCTATTTTCTGCTGTGGGTTTGGTTGGCTGTTAGTCCCTGAAACAGTCTGCAGTATCCACTGTGGTGGGGAACTGGGGAATATGGTCACTGCCTCGATTGTGGCTCTGCAGGGTTGTCTCTCTGACACCCTCAGAGGAGGAAATCCTGGGCTGGAGCAGATCTGCAGGAAATTTTATTCCTGTTTCATTGGTGCTGTAGCATGGCCTAGCATGTGAGTGATTGGAGTCTGAGATAATAAGTTTTGGACTTTGTTACGCACAAAGACTCTTAGTTAGGACACGGGCATTTGACTCCTTAATAGACTTAGCTCTAGGTGAATTTTTCATTATAATAATGCTTACAATATCCTGAAGTGCTCTCATTTTTCCTTGTATATTATTTGAGTGCTGGTCGGTAAAGGAAGATGATTGTAAATTATGTTAATTATAGCACTGCCAGGCAATTCTGAATTATTTTCAGAACAGGAGAAAAAAAGACAATAAGTAAATTTAGAAACTAAATATAAGAAGGACAATACACTTTGAAAGGAATTGTGGTTTGAAATATGTGTTAAAGTTATGAAATGGTTATCATTAATAGTCCTTCTTTAGGTCCTTGAACAGGCAAGACCCTGAAAACTCTGTCCTTATTTTAAGCAGGGATTGAGCCACAGGGCCCTCATATGCTCTTCTGAACTAGACTGTTGAATTAGTCAGTGGTTTTACATGTCTTGCTGAATTAGGAACTGAGACTGCTTAGATAAATGGATGTAGTAACATTTTTTTCACCCAGGACACAGTAAAAGATTATGTGTAAATCTCATAGAAGTTCACAGTGATATTTTGTGCTTTAACTTTCTTTTCACTTTCACTGTGTTCCTGAAGACCAAAAGAAGGACTAATAATGACAATCACATGAGACCAACCCCTACCTGGCAACAATCTCATTTTAGGCAGTTGTAGACATTGATAAGGTCACCCTTGGGCCTTTTCTCGAGGCTAAACACCTGCAGCTCCCTCTATTGCTCCTCATAAGATTTGTGCTCTAGGAACTGTGATACTAGCTCAATAAACATAAACATAAACATATTTTGTACACAGTGACATGCAGCATTTAATTTCTGAATAATCTGGTACCTTCAAAAAATTTGTGGAGTGGGGCAAAGTAGCTTGGACTGGGCAGAAAACAAGGCTCTTCATTTTCCTTAACGGAAGGAATGCAAGGATAGCTTAATGAACTGTGGTGCCTTTAGAGGTGCCCTGTAGATGAAACACAACCAGAATCTGCAAGTGTTCAGTGGCTGAAAATTGCAACCTCTTAGTCACATTGCCATTTGGCCTTAGTCTACAAAAACAATTGCTTCAGATTATTTACATTTTATCAAATCCATTCATAGAGCTTAATTGTTTTATTATGAACCTAGAAGGTAGTCTCAGAAGTTCACAAATCCAGAAGATTTGCCCACCTCTTGCACAGCTTTGAATAATTGGAACAAATCAGATTGGCTTTGTTTTGCAGAAGAAGAAACCACTCTGACTGTTCTTAGAACTGCTTTTCAAGTATTTCCTTTTGATCTATGTGTTCTCCAATTGATGTCAATTAATGTCAAAATGACTGCTTTCTATTTTCCCACAATTTCTTACAGCCTTTCAGAAAAATGGTCAGTGGACTGTAATATCTTGCCTGCCTGTATCTTTCCAGCCGTACACACACTTTTTGAGCGTAGGCAGTACTGAAACTTTAAAGGAACTTATCTAGCTCCTGAGGCAATGGAAAAGCAAATTAATTTCTAATATTTTTGTAATGGCTGCAAGAAAGCAGTTAAGAGATAAGAGCAAAGTTCCTTTTTCTTGGGAAATAAAAAAAAAAGATTGAAACTTCAAGATTAACAAAATCTTTCTTTGACAAAACCCTTTGTCTTAGTTACAACACCACAGAACAATATATATACACAAAGGAAAAGGGTATTTTTAGACACAATTTGGAAGACAGTGTGGAATACTGACCTGGTTTATAATGGTAGTCTGTACCTTTAACAAAGAAACATTTTCCTCTTCATTTGCCTGTCTTTGTTAATAAAACAAAGAAATGAGTCTGGCTAGAGCTGAGTGCCCTAGCAAGCTCTTGCGAATGGGGAATGACTTTCTGCCAGAAGATACACACTACCATCCTTCATTCTTCTTTTGCTGTTAATTTGCTAATTGCTATATTCCCAGAAAAGGAGCACCTTTGCATTGGAATTAGAAATTCCGAGTAGCCAAGGAGAATGATTTTTTTAAACTTCATTTCCTGCTGCAGGAAATTTTGGATTTATTTCTGTCTTAAGAAAAAAAAAAAGATTATGTGTCTAACAATACAAGGAGAGGAAACCAAACACTATGTTTTGTACACACAGAAATATACCTTGGGTACAGATGCTTGAAACCAGTCCTGGCATGATGTTATTAAAAAAGTTGATGAAAAACTGAAGAAACACTTCTACTTTCTCCCACAACCTGCAACTCATCTGTAGAACTCATTATTATAAATTGCTGAAGCTAAAAGTCAGAGAAGAGTTAGGTGGTTTTTAAAAAATGAAACCTCATCCTTTTTCAGGATCATAAAGTTATTCAAAATTGTTATAATGGACAACAAGAAGACCATGCTATTTGAAGGAAGCTATGAGAAGGGCAGGTTTACTCCTTCCAGGATATATGCAGGGAAGGGAAAAATTTGGAATAAGCACAGGATACTAATGAGGTGTGTCTCGATTTTTAATTTTTCAGAGGTCAGAGTCCCTGGTGCATATTCTGCACTGCTGGCTGCCTGCAGGGTTTCTTACCACAGCTGGCCACAGTCTTTGTCAAACACAGAATTTTGGACCAGCAGCATTTTGGACTACTCTGATGATAATGCTTGAATTCCCATGGAATGTACTGGAAAGCATAAAAGAACTCACACCAATTTTTATCTGAAGGGATAGGAGTTTTCTGGGATTGCTCATTGTAAAACATTGTAAAATAGAAAACAATCATATCAAGGAAGAAAATATTCCGGTATACCTTCCAACCGCTACAAAACGGCATCTTAAATGAATTGCAGATTTGAACCCCAAAACAGGAAGGACTGGGAGTTACACATTCAGCTCTGTGGACAAAAAAGGGACAGGACATTTGCTCTATTAATTCTATGGCCATTCTGTTTCTGCAGTGACAGCTGTAGAAGGCTTTTCAGATTCTTAAAGGGTCCAGTCAGAAGTGAATACTTTGAGAGGAAAATTAATTACAAGTATCCCCCTGCCTATTATAAATAACGTGGACCTAACTTCCTGAAAAGGATACATGAAATCCCCCCCTCCTGTTCTGATATTGCTTAAATTACAATAATGTTCAGGGTTGTAAGAAGCCAATGGATTGAATACAGTGATTTCCTGAACTCTCAATTCTAATTAAAATTCTGCAGGCTGACAACATAAAATACGAGTCAAAGTAATAATCCAAGGTCATTTTTGTGCTGCACAAAGTAACTTATTTGAAGTGTCATGCTGATTAGGAATATCTAGCAGAGAACACATGGTCCTTCTCTGTGCTTGTATTTGTGTGATTTATTAGCTTGAAGGATAACCTTCCACCATTGTCAAACAGACTTTGTCAAAGGAGAAAAAAGATATTTTGAAGTCTGATCACGAACCTGAGCACCACAAAAAAAATTCCTCACAATTGGGCATTAATAAAAGATTTTTCTGTTCTCTATTTATTAATAATGTGAAGTGTTTGTAACATTAATATTATATATTTTTTACTATAAGACAGAGGTTTAATGAGCACAGGGCCTTGAACTCCACTGAGAAAGGGAGCAAAAAGAGAGCTGGACAGAAATATCTCTTCTCTCATCTCCAGTTTTCTACCATTTTCCCTTCCAGGGACTAGATTTCACTATTGTTAGTTGTTTGACTC